AACAAGAATAATGAATAATTAAAAATTATTTGAAGCTTTTGTATTTGCGAGGTTATTATAGCTTCCATGAAGCGAATTGAACATTTTCTTTATATTTTATGTTATTTTTAGTCTTCGCAATTTGTTTAACAGTCTGCAAAATAAATAAAATGGATTCATGTGCTTTGCAATTATAAAAATATTATACATCAATATTTCATTTAAAAATTGCTAATCGCAACAAATTTAATTTTGTAACATAGAAATGTTTTTCGGTACTTTTTACGATTAAATTAAATTTTCCATAATTAATTTGCCTGTTAAAATTAAGCGCATTAATCTCCTCACTGCCAGCGAAAAGCTAACGCATTCATTCTCACGTACAGTTCTACCCCGACACACATACATATACACATTCATGCATACCTTGCTTGGCAAATATTCCAGCTTTTGTGCCACAAACGTTCGAACAACAAAGCAAATTAATAACAAACACTATGACATGGAGAATTTTGTTTGCACAACAACAACAGCTAAAACAATAACAATCAAGTTGGAGCAAAGCATGGTCTAAAACAACAAAACTACAGCAGCAAGAACAGTAGCAGAAACCCAAACAAATAATTAATTAGTCAATGTAACGGCAAGAAAATAGGAAAACGTGCTTAAAATAACAATTGGCAATGAAACGGAAGGAGAGAGAGAGAAAGAGAGAGCATTAATATAAATTGAATACCAGAAAAGTAGCTGGGAGCAGCAAGAAAAGTTGTGCCGAAAAAAAAATTCTGGAATACCTTACATTTGAAAAAAAAAAAATAAAATAAAAACTTAAAAACTAAGGAAAGAAAATATTGAGCATAAAAAAAAATAATGTATATAAACCAGAATAGAAATTTTGAAAACTTAAAATAATTAAAAATTTAAATAATTGAAATTAGAAAAGTTTCATAATACCATATTAAAATTTAGAAATAAAACAAACTTAAAATTAACAAGTAAGAAGGGCTAAGTTCGGATGTAACCGAACATTTTATACTCCGCAAAGTCAAATGGTATACTCGTTTGAGATTTCTTTGTGATTGACTGATATTTTCGGTAGAAGGTCAACTATAGGCACTGGGGTCCACATATTTAGTACTTAGGGTTTGAACAGTTTTGGTTCGATTTAGACAATTTTGGCCGCAAGGTGGCATACTTTAATTGCATTATTCACGCAAAGTTTTACGCCGATATAATCATTGTTGCTTGATTTGCATAGTGGAAAGTGAAAGAATCAAGTGGTATTTAAAATGGTGTCATATGGAAAATAAGCGTGGTTGTAATCCGATTTCGCCCATTTTCACACTATGACATAGAAACATTAAAAGAACGTTATGCACCGAATTTGGTTGAAATCGGTTAAGCAGATCTCAAGATATGGGTTTTCACCTAAAGTGGGCTGTGCCACGCCCACTGTCTAATTTGAACGCGGTTCCTATAAAGTCATCTTATACCATCTCAGAGATAAAATTAATGTCTCTGGCGTGTTTAGTGCTTGATTTATCGCGCTTTTAGTAGTTTTAACAGTACCGTTATATGGGGAGTGGCGGAGTTGCCACCATTTCAACTATTTTCACCCGTCAATAGAAGTGCTAAAATATTTGCTTCCAGTGAATTTTGTTATTATAGCATTAGCGGTTTAGGAGATATGCACATTAAACCTATTAGAGGCGGGACCACGCCACTTTTAAAAAGTTTTAACTGCAGATGCCCTCCCTAATGTGATCCTGTGCACCAAATAACAGTCTTATCTTATTGCGGAGCTTAGTTATGGAAGTTATTTGTTTTTGATTAATGGCGTTTTGTGGGCGTGGCAGTGGTCCGATTACGCCATCTGCAATACCAACGTCTCACGGTACCATGAAACATGTCTACGAAGTTTCATAAAGATATCTCAATTTTTACTCAAGTTAGAGCTTGCACGGACGGACGGACAGACGGACAGACGGACGGACAGACGGACGGACGGACAGACAGTCACCCGGATTTCTGTCTCTCATCCTGATCATTTATATAATAACCTATATCTAACTCGATTAATTTTAGGTGATACAAACAACCGTTAGGTGAACAAAACTATTATACTCGTAGCAACAGGTTGCGAGAGTATAAATATATTTAAAAAATTATATTGAATTAAAATTTTTAATAAGTCAAAATATTATTCAAAACTTAAAAATTAAATCTATAACAAACTAAAAATTAAGAATAAGGAAAATTAAAAATAAATAACAAAATTCAAATTAAATTTTTAAATTAAAACTTTGTTTAAATTAAAATTTAATTGAAAGCATGAAAAGTGGAGCTGAAAAAATCGAAAATATTTAAACAACAAAAATTATAAAAAGTTAAAAAATGGAAAATTAAAATAAATTGAAATTGAATTTAAAGAATATTCGTTTAAATAAAAATTATTACATGCTAAAAATTCAAAATATTAAAATGAAAAACCAAAATTATAAATAAGAAATCTTAAAACGGGATTAAAACTAAATTAAAAGAGAATATAGGTTATTAGAATATATATTTAAATTTAAAGAATTTAAAAAAGTAATTTTTTAATAACAGCAAAAATTAAACAAAAAATATTTAAACAGAAAATAAAAAATTAAATAAATAAAATTTTTGAAACTTAAAAAGTCAAAATTATATATGTATAAACACCAAATTTTAAAATAAAAATCAAATTTTTGATATTTTAATTAATATATAATTATTATTATTTAGTTTCCTAAATTTATTTTCTTTTAATTTTCTATTTATTAAACTTAGAAAATTAAAAAATTTTAGGTTATTGTTTAAATTTTAATTTTTGTATTTTTAATGAAAAAAACGCATACAAATTATCATATTTTTTGTTTTAAATAAATCAAAATTTAAAAACTACTAACTTACTAAAAGAACAAATTAATATTAAAGATAAAAAATTATAAAAGAATTTTATTTGAAAACAATAAAGTACAACATTTTTCTCTTTCATATTACAAAATTTAACCACTTTTGAAAAACTTAATTATTTGCCAAATATAAATACCAACCAATAATACGTGCGACCTTTTGCTATTTCGCAGCTGAACTCACTAGCTTATTATCCTTAAAGGTGCATTTTCTCAAAAGTGAACGGTATTTTTTTGCGGAAGTCACATGCCGTTAGGTTCATTGCAAAACGCAATTCACCTTTGACCTTTTAATTTTCGCTTCAAAGTGAGCTTCAAAGCGTAAAAGCTTAGCAGGAATTAATTAAAATTGAAAATTAATTGTCTTTTTAGATCTTAGGTATGGCAAAATATATCATGTTTACTGAATAAATAAGGATATGCAAAGCTTTATTTCTTTGAGATTTCATTAATAAAAACAAATTTGTAGATAGCCTTTGAACATTTTTTATGTTTTTCTGCTATTTTAATCAATTTCGAATTTTAGGACTTTGGATAAGCAAAGCTATACCTATTCCATGTATTAAAACTTTCAATTAGTATAAAACTTTTGAACATTTATAGTAATTAATTTTTCAACCATTTTATTGAAATTCAGATTCTTTAGGACTTTGGATATGCAAAGCTTTACCTATTATATGCTTTAGAGCTTTAAGTAATGAAAAGTGATTTGGTATACAGCTTTGAAAGTTTAAATTAATTACATTTTTTCTACATTTTCTACATTTTTATTTAGTTTATGATTTTTAGAACATAATTAAGGAATTATTTAAGTATTGCAACCTATTCATACCTTCACTTGAGAAGGCTTCTAATAAAACAAACAGTGAGAGTCATTGAAGGAGTATTACTGTAACAAATGACACTTCATATTGAAGGAAACCGAAAAATTCCAAGATCGGCTGAAGTATTGAAGGGAAATATCTTAGCACAACAAAGTTAATTTTCGACATCCTGAATAAGGTTCTATTCTTCAGTCTATCTGAGATCAGAATTGATTAAAAACTTGCGGTTCAGTTGAGTGTTTCTATAATGCGGAAAGTTGAATAATTTACGGAGAATGGGACCTTTAGCAAACTTTGCTACCTTCGCATACATTAGTATTAAAACTATTCCGCTTAGCGAAAAATACTTTCAATTATGTTGTTTGATTCCTCAACTGAACTGAACTCAAAGTATAGTTTTAATTAATTTATTTAGATGCAACCTGTAATTCTCATCCTATTTATGAAACATGTAAATAAAAAGTAGATACGGATTAATAAAGCTAAAGAAGCGCGGTACTGGAATTTACTGGGTATTTTCGAAAACAAATGAAGATACAAAAGATAACGCATAAGAATTTATCACTTTTCATTGCTTTCGACCAGTCGAAGATAGTCTGAAAGAAATTTTCAAGAAATTATTTCTAAAAAGTTGGGCAGTCACTTTCGACCAGTCGAAGATAGTTCTAAAGATTTTTCAAGAATTTAATTCTGAAAAAGTTGGGTCAGTGAAGCTCATCAAATTCATTACATTTTGTTCATAGAAATTCTAGTCATGAAAACGTTGCAAATTTCATTACACCTACTGTAGACTCTTGCTTTGTTGGTTACCTTCATTCAAATTTTCTGCAATTTTCAGCTGATTATCAGCTGAAATTTCCATGCCTGGAACCGACTTAGTTATACTTAGAAATTCTCTTCAAATTTATTTTACAAAAATATAGATTATACTGATGTTTAAAGTTCTATCCAAAACTTTCAGCACGCTTAAATTCACTGATATTTGCCTAGCTCTCTCCCGGTCTTATGCAAAGGCCGAAACTAAAATCGATTAAGATCCTGGCCTCGAATAAAACAAGCAGGGTTCTCGAAACGACTGCAGGACGTTTGTTGTTCTAATGACAAGTCACAACTTACTTTCATCCCATGCGAGCTTGATGGGCATAGGTAATGACTATACTTACAGAAAGTGCAGCGAAGTAGGCATATGAGAGACGATCCTCTGCTTCTGACCAGCCTTATCGAGAATTCGTTTTAGATATCTCGGAGCTTTGCAGTTCAAAGGGCTATATGACGTATCAAAAGTAGATATCAGATCTACCTTAAAGAGTCATGAATTACGAATACTTTAGCTCGAATTAAACTGAACTTCCATCTGGCATTACGAAGGACCAGTAGATCTAAGAATGGTGTGACAGCCGGCCAATATAACCTAGCCTAACCTAATTCTATTAGTTTTTATTGGCATACACATTGCAACCCTATTTACTTGTGTTTTTTTATTTAAAGATGAGTGTTTTTCAAACTTCTTTTATACATAACGTTAATCTGCCAACTCTTTTACACTTACAACCTGAAAGCCGCATCTTTCGCATTGAAATCATGTGAAAGTAATTGCTTTATTATATTTAATAAATTTTTTCTTTCAACCGCACACATAACCAAACGCCTAACCTTTTGACCCTTTTCTACATTTTTCCAGCTACCGGAATGCGCAAGACTCTCCTCGCCAGCTAGTTAAATATGGCAAATTGCACAAACAACGAAGAAAAACAAAATTAAAACGTTTATCAAAATATGAGTGCACAAAAAGTGAGGTTAAGCCCATAACGGCAATTTACAAACAGCTGTGCGCCTTAAATGAAGTTGACAAAGTTGTTATTGGCCGACGCACACACACCGACCAGTGTTTGCCTGACTAAATGGTATCAAAGCAGCCCTAACCGAAATATAAATAAAATACAGATTTCGGATAAAAAATTTGAAAAATAAATAACTTTGAAGGGAGTACGTGGGTGTATGTGCTCATCATGAATAAAATTTCAAGTGCAAAGAAAAACATACAAAATTTGCTCTAATCCACGAAAAGAAAACTAAAAGTTGTGTTTGACCTTTTTTGCTGCTCACCAGACCCTCCCCTAGCGGCTTGACGACACCCACAAAGTATTAAATCCACTCTAACGGTAACAATAAATATGTATATATGCGACAAAAAAAATTTCTAAAAAAACAACTAGTGACAAAGTGCGTGGCAAAGAAGTAGAAAATTTCGAGAAAAAAGTGCGTAAAAGAAAAATTACCCAAAAGAAAAGTGAAGAAAATACCGACGAAACTGCAAAAGGAAGCGGATGACAGCAATTGCGATAAAGTGACAATGAAATTTTTTTTCTGGTGGAAAAGGCTATAAGAGCACAAAAATTCACATTACAACAGTAACAACAACAGCCGATCTAGCAGACACTACGTACACGCCTGGCTGGCAGCCTCCAAGCACTGCCGTGTGCTGCTGTCTAAAATGGATGATTTATAAGGTACATTAACTTGCATATTTTTAGGCGTTAAAGCAAAAGTCACAGACTGACATGGCAACAGCCATGACCATTAGCGTTATGACCGAAATGACCACGTACACGCGCCATAGGCGCTCGTGTCGTGCACACAACATGCTTTAGCCATACACATAACGGTACATTCATACACACTACTGCCAAACTAAAATCCGCCCTATGCGCATTCTTATGTCGAAACTCATTTGATTCACTTGCTTTGTCTGTTACCATTGATGGCGACCAACGTTACAACGCATAAACACCAAGGTCACGCACATCTTTTAGCCCTTAATGTTTTGCATTATTTACAAATGACGGCATGACATGACAGCTGACAGGTCATGCATTGACTGTAGCATGTGGCAGAAGTGAATGGCATACAAGTCAAAAAAATCATAGAAAAAAATAGAGTCGTAGCGCAACTACTTAACGCCTATCCACGAGTAGCCCAGTACAAGCTATTGGTTTAACTAGTATCGTATATGTGGGGGCTTAATGTTTAACTGGAGTTCTCTTTTTGTTCAAAAATACATGAAAATTAACGCTAGTTGCAATTTACTGGTATTAAGGGTATTACGAAGAGCCTGATTTCTTCATGCGTGCCTCCATTGAGCTGGTTCAAATCCAAGTAGAGGTTGGAACTATGAATAACTCCGATTATCTTGAATAGCAAGTACGATATGGGACCTCCATTGATGTATTACTTTTAGGAACTTCGAAAATTATTTACCAGCAGATCTTAACTTAAAAACTCTAAGGTTGATACATTTTTCTTTCATCCATTCATTCTCAATTTGATAACATGCTCTATTTGTTGAGAAAGTCTTCAACAATTTCGAAATTCCGAAAGACCTAAGATCAAAGTGTGTCTTCTAATGATAGAGTATCGCGTTGAGTTCTTATTCGATCTACGGGTAATTGCAGAAGATTTAAAGATCCTATGATTTTCTTTAATCTCCTTAATATCGGCTTACTTAATTATATCAATAAGGTCTTTCGATTTAGACTTTGTAATCGATTTGCGACCAACAGCATTTCCACAGAACTGCTTCATCACGAGTTCAAATAGGCATTTTGCAATAGTTAGAGCAATCTAATTGATCCATAACCTTATCTTGTGGCCGGCTCCATGAAAAGTTCTTCAATGAATCCGCTAAAAGCTTTTTCCAACAAAGTTTATCCCGAACTCGACTCTTAATTTCCACCTGTGGCGCAAATAATTTGTTAATACCCAGCCAGTATCAGTAATAAACTAAGTTCCGCTCCCACTTATTATTTAATTTCCAAAGAGAGGTTTATGATAGATTGTGTGACTCGAGGAACTCTGTTCCCGCTAATAATATTGTATTAGTTTAGAGCTTCAAGGAGAGGCTTAGCAATATTTTACAGTCTCAAAGATTTTGCAGACACGATTGATGAAATCTGAAACTCTGACTGGGTGAAGAAATTAAGGTTCGAGTTTATGGAACCAAGTTGAACTTTCTGAAGTAACTAAGCCTTTCTGTATCGTATCGATTTGACCCATCATATAATTTTATTTCTTTTTTTTTACATAATTGGTCGGCCTTCATTTCCTATCGTGTATCAGTTGAAACATCTTTAACGCCTTAAGCCACATCTGTTGGGTAGATGAGATTTATCTGAAGTGCTCTATAGTGTCAAAAATCCACTAGTGTTGATCAGAGAAAATCTAGAGAGACATAGATCACATTCATCCATTATACTGCTTGTTTCATGTTTATCCATACCATGAGATTTTTCGGCACACATTTTATAACGGTACATTTTACGATGTACTAAATGAAGCCTTCTAAGCCATTTTTAACAATTTCTATTTTTAATTTTGAGATTATGGCAATGAAAATTTGGTTACTCGATATTTTTACTCATCTTATTTTTTATGCGTCCGCACTTCTCAACCAGCTTATGAAATTCGGTGAAAATATAAATACTGAAAATTATATATTTTAAAGCGATTACGATCTTTCACGAAATAATTTATTAAATTCAAAAGTAAAGACGGGTTTAAGAATCCTACTGAATAATATCAAATATACGCTGTCAGAAAGAAAAACAACATCACCACTCCCCCAAAATTATAGTTTATTTGTACGAAATATTTTTAAAATGTATAACTAAAAAAAGAATAGTATTTAAATCACAACCAAGTAGCGATTTTTTTCATTTTTCACACACTTTTATGTAGACAAACAGTCGCACGTGAAAAAGTGTGGGCACGAGCATTTTTGATTTAATGTGTGGAAATTACTGGGGCGTACCCAAAAACAAGCCGAGAAATGGTGCTGACAGAGTGTGAGAGAGAAAAAACGAGTGAATGGAATTGCGTGAGTGCGTTTGCGACATGCTTTTCATGGGCTTTGATGGGTATAACAACGTGTGTAACTGTTAAGGATAATATAATATAATCGAGTATGGAATTCTATAGTTTTTATTGTACTTGCTTGTGGCAACCCTATTTAACAATTATTATTGGCTACAGTGCTTTCAATTGCATATATTTTGTTTCAAACTCTCTTTCTAATATTTAATTCACATACTCAAATTACCAACTATTTTAAGTTATGCATTTTTTTAAAAGTGGCAACCTTGGCTGCAGCTATACAACAATTCTTGTATGAAGATTTTCATGATTACGCCTTGCATACTGTCTTCAACAAACAATATATACTTGTTAAGTTCTATTAATATTTTTATTTTTTTTTCAAATATATGGCAAACTATTTTTGTTAATAAAAGTATAAAAACCATAAAAAATGCGCTGTATTTGTGATTGAGTTTTGATGTGTGGTTTTTTAGAAGGGTGGCCACTTAAAGTTATATTTTTTTTATAAATCTCTATTATTTTTTTTCTCTATTTATTTTAACTCTGGATTTATTATTCGAACCACTAATTATTAAAATTAGTATTCCATTTTTAAACATATAGCAACTTACTTTTGCTGATAAAACATAAAAATCTCGGAAAATTCAATAAAATATTCTGATTTATTCAAAAAGGTGGCAACTTCAGTTTAATATTCTTCTCAATGTTCAGTTATACATATGTATGTACACATATGTATACACATATATACATATGTATACTATTTTCTCTATATAAACAGTTTAAATGCACCCATTTTATTATTATTTATTACTATTTTGAATTGCACCGATTAATTAGACTAAGAATATTGTTAAAACAGATAGCAACTTTACTGCAAATATATTAATGCACAGGTTTTAATAAAAAATGTTTTTGCATGATACAACGCTTTTATAGCCTATATTGAACAATATAATTTTTTGAAAGGTTTTCAATTCTGAGTGCATAGCCTTTATTACAGGCTAAATTACTGTTTTTGCAAAACAAAAAATAAAACTTTAAATTTATATTTTTTTTATATTGTACTATTTAAAATATACAAGCCTTTTAATATTTTGAAATAGGTGGCAACTTTGTATTTTTTTAAATTCTTGTTTTTATGGATAAAAAAACGTGATATAATGAAGTCTTGATTTTTTTCATAAATCTCAAATATCTATACCGCTTGGCTTTTTGAGTTAGGTGGCAATATTTTATAGATTTCTTATAAATTTGAGATAATAAAACACAGTTAATATAACTTGTCCTGAGTTTTGAATTTCTTATGATAGCTAAGCTATTTAAACCTTGGGTTTTTCAAAATTGATGGCAACATTTCTTCAACTTTTTAAAAATACTTTTCTGATTGTAGAACTGAGACCGTTAGTTTTTTCAGAATAGTTGGCAACATTTTTTGTATTTTTTAACCTTTTTTGATAATAAACTTTGGGCCGCAAACTTTTCTATTATAACTCAATTCTTTATACGGGTTGGTCTTCCGAATTAGGTGGCAACTTTTTTTAAATTTATTTTGTTAGATTCTTTTTATTTTTCCGTTAATAAAATCAAGTAAAATTATACATTTGTGGTTGTAACGCATTATCCGTCATTTAATGACATTTTTTGCTTCGACATTGGGTGGCAACACTTTTTAAAATATTTTCTACTCTAAAGTATTCTCACTATGTTTTACATACATTTTTTAACTTTTCTTACGTAATTTGCTTCCACTCAACACATTACTCAACTTTACTGCTGCAATTTTCACTTTTATTCCGCTGGCATTTTCATTTGGACGCGTGAATTGTAATTTCACTTTAATCCTTAGAAATGGCGCACACATACATATATACATATTTTAAAAAAATGTAACCGTCGGCTTACATACGTGTTTCGTCATCAACGTAAAATAAGTCATAAAAACCACTCGCGGCAAGGCTACCAACACAAACGCTCAAGAGAAAAAAGTTTTTATCCCCACGCTTATCCTTTAATACATAATAAAGTTTACGTGCAGCAGCAGCAGAGGTAGGGGCAGCGGGAAGAAGTTGTAAGCTGTAAAACAGTTTACTTTATTTAAGTTTATTTCTTGTTTGAAAACTTGACGTAAATATAAAAGCCTACTGACTTACATGCTATAGTATTAGGGCGTGTTGTTTTGTGTATATGTATATATGTGTGTGTTAACATTTATACACATACATGCATATATTTTTGTGTTGTGGTATGTGTAATACAGATTCTTTTTGATTTATGTGCTGCTCTCACTTGTCTACATGACAGTATGTGAAACCCACGCGCCGCTTATACACACACGCCACACCAATAATATTACTTACCTAACTCACCTGCAATCCTTTGCTGCCATGCTTAGTACCGAGAAATGCTCAATGCCGCAGCCACTCACTTACTTATAACACACACATATATAGGAACATGCTCTATATTTAAGCTCTTCCTTTCTCCACCTTTATCCGCCTCTTGCTCTCACACTCTCCTTACTATTATTTCAACTGCTTGCCGCTGCCGCATCTCTATTTCAGATTCTTGACTTGTTCGTAACTAAAATTTGCATTTACGAGCCCCACTTGTCCGCTTGATGGAATTTTGAATGTCT